TGCTCATCCTGAATATCCATTAGTCCTAGACCCAAAATAAAAATGAGTGAAACAGGGGCTTGGGCCGTGGCTCAGTGGTAGAATGTTCACATGGCAATTGTGAGAAACCAGGTTCGATCCTCAGCACCACATGAAAATAAATAAAGGTATTGTGTCCATCTATAACTAAAAATATATTTTTTAAAATGAGTGAAATAGGCTGGGCCTTTGGATCAGTGGGTGGCACACTGTCTAGCATGTGTGAGGCCTTGGGTTTGATTCTCAGCACTGCATATAAATAAAGAAAATAAACGTCTATCAATAACTGAAATATATACATATTGATAACGAAATGCATGAAATGCTACTCGCCAATGCTTGATTCTAGCTTAACGCTGCTGAGGAATCCATGAGAGGACAGAGAAAGACAGGGACTTGACTGGTCTGCGAGGTAAAGACACATAGCAGAGATTGAACTCCCGTGCAGTGGAGCTCCATATCATTTAGGAGGAAACATCTCTTCGAGAGAGGTCATAATGCTCCATGGAGTGGATCTTGTTTTTCTGACTTGCACCTATCTGTCTTAGTTTGGCACATCACAGATAAAATATGCAGGAAGTCTGCTGGCTTCAACCCCAAGCAACCACCAGAGCACCCAGAAACCCCCTGGTTGGGAGCCTGTCACCTGGATGTGAAGCACTGTTGACTACTGGGAAGGCACAGGTACAGAGCAGAAGCTGCAGCAAAAGCTTTGCAGAGTGAATGAAGGGAAGGGAGGAGGGGCCAAGGAGGATGGAGTTTACCTGGCCCAGTAAAGCTGAGGAGGGAGAAGCCCAGCTCTAGAGTACCTTGTTGCTGAGCCAGAGACCTCAGCTATGGCCTGTGATGAGAGAGCCCAGGCTGAATGGCACAGTCCCCAGACTCCTAGCAGGTGTGGAATAGGACCTGGGTGGACCTCAGAGAGGTCCAGATGTGCTGGGTGGGAGATGCTGTAGCCTGAAGGGAACAGGAGAGGGGTGCCAGACCTCCTAAGACGAGGAGCCTGTGCTGGTCGAGATCCTGCTGACCCCCACAGGTTTGTTTCCCAGTCTTCAAGAAGGTGAAAGGACTTAGGCTCCATGATACACCTCAGTACTTTGCCCTTAGGGATTTCTGATTGTGCAACTTTCATCACTCGGCAAATAAGTGACAATCCATATGTGCTACCCACAGGTGGGCAGGTCTCAGTTTCTCCTGGATGTCTGTTGGAGGCTGAGGTCTGAGGCTGCCCTGGACACTCTTGGCTCTGGAGAAGCAGGTGGGTGAACTGGGGTATAAGGTGGGGGTCTCAGTGTGGCAATGAATTCTCACAACTTTTTAAGGGTCTGAAGGCTTCACTTGGCCCTTTGTCTTCTTAGCAGCTAAATCCTTACCATTGGGAAAGGAGACTTCACTGAAACTTCTGCTTTGGAAAGAGGAATCCTGTAAGATTTAGAACTTTGGTAGGGCCCAAAGGCCTGGGAACATAATAATGATTGTTAAAGGGCGTCATCTGCATTTACCACTCAGTTTAACGAGCCCTAAAAAAAAATAGGCTGAAGAGGAAGGAACTGTATATATCAGTACATTATATTCACCAGGCTGTTAACATTCAAAACAACCCTAGAGGGCAATGTTATTAAACCCTAAAATGTAGGTGAAGACACAGACTAAGAGCAGTTATGTGACATACCCAAGACACACAGTTAGAAATGGGGGAAATTGGGGTTCTAGTCAAGTGTGTCTGATCCTACACCTGTTCCCAGTTCTGATGGCCTGCTGCTATTTTGGCCACAGTAAAGACACACACACAAAAAAATTGAGTTGGTGAGGATGTCGAGGAAAAGAGACAGTCATACAATCCTGGAGGGACTGCAAATTGGTGGAACCAATTTGGTAGTTCAATTCCAGGTTTTCTAAGGAATTTCCATACTGCTTTTAAGTATGAAATTCCCATAGAAAACCTGGAATTGAACTACCATTTGACCCAAGTATCCCAGTCCTGGACTTATACCCAAAGGACTTAAAATCAGCCTACTATAGAGACTCAGCCAAATCAATGTTTATAGCAGTTCAATTCACATTAGCTAAACTGTGGATCCAACCTATATACCCTTCAATAGATCAATGGATAAAGAAACTGTGGTGGATATACATGATGGAATACTACGCAGCATTAAAAGAGAATGAAATTATGACCTTTGCATGTAAATGGATGGAGTTGGAGAATATCATGCTAAGCAAAGTAAGCCAATCCCTCAACACCAAAGCCTGAATGTTCTTCATGATAAGTGAATGTTGCTCCATAATGGGGATGATGGGAAAAATGGAGGCAATCTGATAGGGCAAAAAGGGATGAGGATGGAAAGGTCATATGGGGGCAAGAGAGAAGGTGGAATGTGAAGGACATCATGACCCCAGGGATATGTATGACAGCACATATGGTGCGAAGCTACATCGTGTACAACCAGAAGAATAAAAAATTGTGCTACATTTATGTAGAATGAATCAAAATGCCTTGTGATGTCATATATACCTAATTAGAATAACTAAATTTAATTACAAAAATTGATACACACTTGAGCTGTATCCTAAGTTCTGGGGATATCAGGGACACTCACATGATATTTTCTTCTCTTCCAGAGCTGTAGGGAAGGCTTGTATGAAGGTTTACCTGTCACTTGGGAAAACTGCAGACACATAGTCTCCCAATGGCACCTCATCACATCGGCAAATACCAGGAGAGACTGACCGAAAGAGGGTCCTGGACTTGTTCTCCCAAGGGATGATCGAGCATGTCCCCGCCACATTCCACCTGTGCTGAACATGCCACCAACATTCCTGGTCTTACTTGGGGTGCCCATCACCCTACTCCTGGTCTCTGGCTCTTGGCTCCTGGCTCTTGGATCCAATGTCACCCTCCTTGTTTTCCTCTGGCTGCTGGCCAGACATCCTTGGAAGAAGTACGTGGTCATGTGTTTGCTGACATCACCAAATCCTACCTGAGGGACCGTGGTTCCTGCTTCTGAGTGGCTGAGTCTGGGGGGCACGTGGCAGGCATAGTGGGTGCTCTGCCAGTGTAGGACGCCCCCCAAGGGAGGAAAAAACTGCAGCTATTTCACCTTTTTGTGGCCTTGGAGCACCGAGGTGAAGGACTAGGGAAAGCCCTGGTCATGACTGTCCTCCAGTTTGCAAGGACTCAGGGCTACAGTGAGGTTGTCCTTGAAAGTAGCATGGTACAGCAGGATGCTCTGACCCTCTACCTGCGCACGGGCTTCCAGAAGACAGGAGAGTACTTGTTTAGCAAGATCTCTAGACCACTGGGCAATTCTACAATTCAATTTAAATACTGCCTCCCATCTGCTCAGGCAGGAGGCACGTGACCTATTGTCTCGTGTATCAATCAGGATCTGATTGACAATCCTGTAGTACAAGCAAACTCTGGCATTTTGGTGGAACAAATGATGAAATCTCATTGCTGGTGCATATCTGAGTCCACCATGTTTTACGGCCAAGTTTGGATATGGGGGCTTCTATTCCATTCATTGGTTCATTGATGTAGAACCATTTGTAGGTAAAAGGTCAAGAGGATAATGTGCACAGAAGTTGCTTGAGTTTGTGAGCCAGTAGATTCTCCTGGTCTGTGCTGGGCAGCTCTCTGGGTTTCAGGATACCTATGGAAATGTCCTAGATAGACTGCAGTACCAGTGACACTGTATGTAATCCTGTCCCAGCAGGCCAGCTCAGGCAAGGTTCAATGTCACTGAAGAGCAGCCAATGCAAAATGAGAGAGGAACAAAGACTTCTCAATGTCCTCACAGGGGTCACTTCTGGACACATCCCAAACTCCGGGGAGAAATGGAGCTGGCTCAGAAGTGGAGGAGCTGCAGAGTCCAGAGCAGAGGGGCACGATGTGGCTCTATGGGAAGAATTGGGCAGCAATGCACTCACTGTATTGCCCTGTCCCTGCAGAGGGGTGGGAAGGTGACCTGGTTATGGTGCTGCCAGGACCCATACCCATGGGCAAGGTTCACTTGGGGAGGTCGGGGATGGAGCCCTCCTTTGGGTCCTGGAGGAGGACATGGACAGGTGCGTGTCCCAAAGTTTTCCTGGAGTAGAACTCAGTTCCAGTCTCTGTCCCCAGGTGTTCACAAACTCATGATTTGACACTCAGGAAAGATCCCTCTCATAGAAGGGAGAGTTGGGACATGAGTCAGTGCTGATGTTCCCAGGACTGTCACCCTTTCCCAGCTGCTTGAGCTGTGTCTGTGGCTTGTTCCTGGGGGCCGGCAGCCACATACTTGGTCTCCATCACCAAGAGTCAGAGCTCCTGACCAGAGATTCCACGCGAAACTGATCCAAAAATTTATGTCCCTTAGGCAGTGTTGAGGGGTCTTTCTCACCTTAGTTTCTACTTCTCAGCATTGTGGGGACACCTGGGCCACAGCCTGTGCAGTTTGGGGATTCAACCTTGGCTATGCCCATTTCACCTACATGGAAACCCTTAACCATGCTCATGGGTTTTGTCCAAATTGAAGAGACAAGTTGTCTAGGACCAAAGGGACTCTGAGACCCCTCCTATCATTTAGTAATCAACTATGAACTAGAAGCACTGACTTTTCAAATGAAGACATTTCAGAAATGACCCAGTTTCAAAGGTCTAAACCTTTTGGTATCATTTGAGGATTTGAAAATGCACCCCAAGTTTGGTTCAGCCACAGGAGCACCTTCACTAGAAAAGAAAAACCTTATCAGAAGGAGGCTGGGACACAGCTTTCTGAAACCATCAACCCTGAACTTCAGGCTTCAGGAGGGCAGGACAGTGAGGCTGCCCTCAGGCTCAAGTGGAGGCCTTCTGCCCCTCCTCTGCTCTGCATAGGAATCCTCTCCCTTGTAAGCATCGCCCTGCCCCTGCCCCCCAGCACCTGTCTTCTTCTCCATGTCACCAGCAACCCAGGCCAGAAAGGATTTGTCTCCTCCCCTGAGGCAGGGCAGCCTGGTTAGCCAGCAACTTCCCAGCCATGACTTTGTGGCAGGTCTTGGGCCCTGGGAGGATTTGTACTGTAGGACTGAGACCTGGGGTTGCCCTTGGATTGTGACTGCAGCTTCCCACTCTGGGGCCCTGAGGCTCAGGGCTAGACCTAAGAGACGAAAGATAGACACTAAAATCAGTTCTTGATGTACAGCATTGTGAAAGTCTTCCCCCCCCAGGGAGGAAGCAACTGCAGCTGTTTCACCTCTCTGTGGCCTTGGAGCACCGAGGTGAAGGACTAGGGAAAGCCCTGGTCATGACTGTCCTCCTATCCATGCACATAACAAGGCTGTGGACCCTGCATGGCTAAGCCCATGCTGCCCTCAGCCAATCCCTCCCTGGGCAATCATGTCTTCCTGCTTCTGAGTGGCTGAGTCTGGGGGGCACGTGGCAGGCATAGTGGGTGCTTTGCCAGTGGAGGATGCCCCCCCAATCTCATTCCAAAGCTACAATCCAATCTCTGGGCTCCCTTCCTCCTGCAGTACTATCCATGCACATAACAAGGCTGTGGACCCTGCATGGCTAAGCCCATGCTGCCCTCAGCCAATCCCTCCCTGGGCAATCATGTCTTCTTTGTCTTAAATGTGCCTTTGTTTTGTGTTAGTGTTGACAAGCCTCTGTCAATTTAGCTTGAGATGCTCCTTTTTCTCCCTGGGGAGGCCAACATCTCTTTGGGTCTCTGACCAAGTGTGTTCCTGGGATGAAATCCTGTCTCCCAGCAGTCCAAGAGTCTGCCTCCTCCTCCTAGCCATTTTCACCCCTCTGAGGGCATCTAGCCATCTGACAGACACCTAATGCTCCTGGGGAACTCCTGGGATCTAAGACCCCTCCTCAGCCACATCCCTGCTCATCCTGAATATCCATTAGTCCTAGACCCAAAATAAAAATGGGTGAAACAGGGGCTTGGGCCGTGGCTCAGTGGTAGAATGTTCACATGGCAATTGTGAGGAACCAGGTTCGATCCTCAGCACCGCATGAAAATAAATAAAGGTATTGTGTCCATCTATAACTAAAAATATATTTTTTAAAATGAGTGAAATAGGCTGGGCCTCTGGCTCAGTGGGTGGCACACTGCCTAGCATGTGTGAGGCACTGGGTTTGATTCTCAGCACTGCATATAAATAAAGAAAATAAACATCTATCAATAACTGAAATATGTACATATTGATAACGAAATGCATGAAATGCTACTCGCCAATGCTCAATTCTAGCTTAACGCTGCTGAAGAATCCATGAGAGGACAGAGAAAGACAGGGACTTGACTGGTCTGCGAGGTAAAGACACACAGCAGAGATTGAGCTCCCATGCAGTGGAGCTCCATATCATTTAGGAGGAAACATCTCTTCGAGAGAGGTCATAATGCTCCATGGAGAGGATCTTGTTTTTCTGACTTGCACCTATCTGTCTTAGTTTGGCACATCACAGCTGAAATATGCAGGAAGTCTGCTGGCTCCAACCCCAAGCAACCACCAGAGCACCCAGAAACCCCCTAGTTGAGATCCTGTCACTTGGATGTGAAGCACTGTTGACTACTGGGAAGGGACAGGTACAGAGCAGAAGCTGCAGCAAAAGCTTTGCAGAGTAAATGAAGGGAAGGGAGGAGGGGCCAAGGAGGATGGAGTTTACCTGGCCCAGTAAAGCTGAGGAGGGAGAAGCCCAGCTATAAGTACCTTGTTGCTGAGCCAGAGACCTGAGCTATTGCCTGTGATGAGAGAGCCCAGGCTGAATGGCACAGTCCCCAGACTCCTAGCAGGTGTGG